AAAAAAAAACAGACACAACACATTCAGAAAAATCAGTTGCATTAGTTTCTCAGAGTGTACTAAACGTAAACCATTACTTCAAACTTGTGTAGTTCCACCATTTTCAAGTGTATATTTCATACGACTTCCTTTCAGCACATTCAGTGACGGTGTCATATCAGACCAGTTATACAATTTGCCATATTATGGAAATGGAATCGGATTCATGCTCGCCAAACAACAATGGTATTGCAAATAAATGCAGAGACATTGCAGGTACAGTATGAGCGTATAAAAACCGACCTAGCATTTTCCCATTTTTCATCATCAGCATCTTCAAGTCCATTAAATCCAAGCTATCATGTCGATAAACAAAAAGTACAAATAACATCAGAACATATGCCGTAAACAAGTAACATTTCCATAAAGCACAACCAGAAGCAATCTGCAATAAATTATTCCAATCCTCTCAAAATTCACCAATTCATACCTCGTCGTCATCATCTTCATGTTCCTCATCTCCACTTCCTCCTTCATCGTCACTCTCTTCCTCCTCGTCTACAGTTTTATCTCTCTTCCTCTTATTCTTTTTCCTCCTTAATTCCGTCCTCTTGTTCTTCAGCCTCCGCAATAAGTTTCTCCAATTCCTTCAATTTTGAAAAACTGATCTTCAACTCGGCCGAGTTTTTTCTACTCATTTGTAAGTAAAATCAGAACGAAATCGGGAAAATTAGAAAAGAACTCGAGCTCATTCGCAGGTTGCGAGCACAAACTTTGATCAATTCATAAAAATTTCCGTTTGCACCAGACACAGTTCTGTTCACATGTTCTATGGGTGAACATCGTATCACTCAATCAATTGAATTTTCATAATCGTATGCTCAAACTAGCGTCAATTTCAGTCGCCCAAACGTTCGATTTTTTTCCCCCAAACAGTTAAAATTAAGAACAGAGGAAAGGTTAATGCCTGATGACTGAGGGGTGAGCCTGTGAGAGAGCCGTGCGAACAAGGGGCGGCGGGAGGACGGCCGCGGTAGTCTCCGAGAGCGGCGGGCTTGAGCGTCGGCGGCGAGTGTAATGTGATTCTTGTTGTTGCTGTTCGGAACTCCGAGTGGTGCTTTTCACCAATTCTTTTGTTTCTTCGAGGAAGATGGGCTTGCCCGCATACCAAAGCCCAGCCCATTTAGGTCACTCATTTAGAATCTAAATGGATATGTCAGTCATAATTAGGACGACAATTTTATTTTATTTTATTTTTTTAATAAACACGTATTCTTTAAAAAAGTACTATAAGCAACAATTAAAAAGAGTAACATTTTGATGGTACAAGCATTTATTTTTGTTTGTAGATTATAACGGTCGGGCCGTTTCACATAAAAAAAAATTGAGCATGATTTTATGGTTGTATAAATGGTGTTATGAAACAAAGGTTGAAAACAAGTTGAGAAGAGTCTGAGTCGAACCATGCTCTTTATTGATTTAAGTTCAATTGTTCATGTTGGAGCTCTTGACGAGCTTGGTTTTTTAAACTCTTGACTCTACTAGAAAACAAATTGTACAAATGCTCGAGTGGCGTGGAATTTTATTAACTCAAGATCAACTATAACTTGTGGAGAATCTTGCTCAGCTTTTACACAGCGAGCCTGTACAAAAGGGATACAAAAAGATATAAATCTCTGAATTATGTATTATTTTCTATCAAAGTCGATCGACCAACCCCACTGAGCAGATAAATATATAGAGTTCTCAATTCCTGAAACACCTAACTTACTCACCAAGAAAAGGAATAAGTAAAATAAAATAGCAATTCACTTACCAAACTAAATAAACTCAAATACCAAAACAAATAAATAAGGTAGAAGTAAATAATAACTGATGACGCCGACGATCTCGTTTCTCCAAGAAGGCAAGTGCGATCTCATACCCATCATTATCCTCTGGTTGAGAAGGATTCGCCCTCAAATCGGACCTCATTTCGTCGTCGTCTGAGTTGTCGCCGCAGAAAGGCACGAGGTGCTTAACATTGAAGACGTCCCAAGTGCGAATGTGAGAAGGTAGGCGAAGCCGATACGCATTGGGATTGATCTTATCCACGACCTCGACAGGATCGATATTTCGGGCCGACAACTTCTCATACTCGTGGACAGAAAAGCGATCGTTGGTCAACACATATCCAATGTCATTAGATTGGGACTAATATGATTGTATAAATTCATACCCAATGTCATCAACTCATTCACACATATCCAGAGATTTACCTCTGGTGCTCAAAACTCACAACACAGTGATCTCTAAGAAAACGCCCCCACTGGTAACTTCAATCTCTCAAGGTTCAACATAAGTAGATTTTTGCAACAGTTTCAATTTCCAGTATTCCAACTATTTTATGTTGAAGTTTTCTTCTCAATTAAAGTTTTGATTTAATTTTAATCAGACCAAGCCATGTTTAAGTTAGAAGCATTTATGAAAAAGATTGGATATGAATAGGAGTAGCAGCAGCTGCCAAAGACTGATCAATGCTTTGGAAGGACAGATAAGAGAGGCCAGCCTGTAAATTACAAGACTCGGCTCGAATAGCACGTCTCAACTCAGTCCCTCGCACAATCCGAACACGGTCCATTCTCCCATGCATGCAGGTCCATATACATGCCAATGTTTACGTGATTTGATTCTGGTTCAATCAAGTCTGATTTTCGATAAAAATCGAAATATTCATGAACACGTGTAAAATCATGTCTGATTTTCGACCTGTGCCTGATTTTACACAGAGCAGATTCTCCAACCAATACCTCGAACGAGAATCCGAGAAAGAAGCCAAAAAAAAGAAGTAGACAAGTAGGCAACAACTGTATATCTTAAATAAACAGAGGTCACTTATATATATTACACACACTGCTAGGACTAAAACCAGTCTAGCAGCATAATAAGTAGGTGCAATTGATGGATAAGTAAGAAAAGATGAACATAAAATACTAATGAAAAAAAAATAACAAATTTAATTCCAGAACAACATTCAACTTTATACCCGGTTTCATCGATCCTCATGTCTCCAAACGCAGTCTTGTCTCTTAATCCAGCCATCATGAAAGGATTTCTATGTACAAACTAAAGTCGGCTGATGTAGAATGTAAACAAAAAATAGGAGCTAATAAGCGACGTGCGAACCGAGCTTTGAAGGTCTGATAATAACATTTCCACTAAAACTGGTCTTGGCCATTCCGGGCTTTGGACCTGTGGGACTACTTTTCACAAGGGGTCGACCGACTTGAGGCCCGGCAGCTGGTTGAGCCCCATGAACAATCCCTAGTCCAAAAAGAGAGAGAGAGCATATATGACATAGTAAGAGTGGCGCTAATTTATAACATTTTAAAATGTCATAATAGGCTACACCCAATATTTATAATTCTCTCATATTAAACTTGTCTAGAGAGACCTACCTCCAGTAGGCAGAGACAACCGCTTCTTTCTCTGTTTATCTGCAAGTGCCAATCTCTCCTTAGGGTTACTGCTTGATCTCAAACCAACACCAGCCTTCAAGTTAGCTTCCTCAGCCAAATTCACATCAACCGGTTTAGCAGCCCTCATAGGGACCATCTTGCCCTCAGTTCCATCGACATATGAGGCTTTCGAGTTATTGCTCAAGCCGGGGCTACTCTTCACATTTGCATCAGCTGACTCATGCATGCGGATCCTCACGCCATCTATGAGGTTGATGTCTAAAAAGGGGTTCTCCCAGGGACGAACATCCATCCACCTCTCGAGCCAATTCCATCCCCAGTAAGCTTTGTCCGGCTCGAAACCGGCATGCAAATTGGTTTTCTGTGGTTTGGAGATGACGGAAGGTGTTATCACCTGGTGCCGGTGCCTCGCTTGCCACTGCAGTATAGTGTAGAAAAAATTTTATTTATTTGTTTAAGCAATAAGTGGAAATAGCTGTAGAGAGGTGAAAGGGCTTTACCTGGCGAGCTAAAGCATAGGCCTTTGCTTTTTCCCGATTAGCGGCAGCCTCTTTCCTTTTCAACAGCTTGGCTTGAACTTCTTCTGCAGATCCCACAATCCGACACCATCCCTCCTGAGTAGCAACCGACGAGTAAATGACATGTGAGGAAGTGTTTTAGCTACTGTCTTTCTAGTATTTTCTCGTGATGCTGTTTTCTTTTCAAATAATAAATATACTAATAAAACCGAGCGTACTTCAATTTTCTTGACACGAGCTTCTTGTTCAAGTTGCTCTTGAAGTTTCTGCTGTGCTCTTTGATTCTCCAGGGCAACACGAACACGCCTCGCTCTTACTCGAGCCTGGAATTTCACTAAAGCTTGCATACAACGAAGAGTCGTGGAAGCTTGCTTTCTTACCGAATAACCCCTGACGAGAGCTTGAAGTCTCACCAATCCTTTTAAAGCACGTAAGGATTGTTTAGCCTGATATACAAACAAAATACATTAATAAGCATATGATTTTAGCACCAGGATTATTACAATGCTAGTTGATTGTATGATTTTGCATTGAATATCTATTGTAGTTCATATCACATGATCTAAAGACAAAGCTAATAAGGATGAATGATCTGTCAAGCGCTAATCTTGAAGACGAAAATAAGTATAACAAGAATCGCACGACCAGAAAGTAAAATTATATAATCTGAATAACTGAACCAGTTAGTATACCAGAAATCCTCGAAAAGCCGTCTGGATGCATATGGCTGCCCATTCTTCTCTCATATTCAGATCAACCTGAGCAGCCCACTCTTGCCTCATCTTCTGTTGAAACTGAGCCTCCCATTCAAGTTGATCTGCGTTTTGCACCTCAAGTGGGGTCGAAGGAGAGCTGGTAGAATCCAAAATCGACTGGAATTTCGCATCTTTGGCATATTCAACTTCCATAACTACATTTCGATTCAACTCATTTCCAAGTATATCATTACTGAACCCGAGGGAAAATTTCCTTTGGTGCGAGATTCGAGGTGAATCTGATACCAGCTCGAAATTTGCCTCTTTCACATCTTCGGCTTCAACGATCATGTTACGATTCAACTCATTTTCCAAATATTCAAGTGTACAGTTATCATCAATCTCAACTGAGTGCTTCCTTTCATGTGAGATTCTAGATGAATCCAAATCCGACCAGAAATTTGTATCTCTTACGGTTTCGATTTCTCTGACAACTTTCGCGTCCGACTCGTATTCAAGAATATCGTCATCAGTCTTAAGAGCATGCTTCTCTTGGTGCCAAGCCTTCTGTGTGCTTCCTGAAATCTGTTTGACAATAATGTGCAAAAGTGTACAATTTTCATACCCATTCAATCAAGTTAGACTGTACTCGATATGAACATTATAACTATTTGCGACTGCCAAATTATAATTTGCAATGCGACCAAAAAATATCACCCACATTTTCCTCCTTCTCCAAAGATCGAGAGCTTCCGGATTTCTTCATGCGAAGGATGGCTTTGATCCATTTCTTCGGTGCACGCATTTTCGTCGGGCCTGGACGAGTACAAGAAGAAAAATGAATAATTTGATACAGAAAAAAACCAGAGCTACATATATCCTTGAGATAATCAACATCATATAGTTCACAACAACACTAACTGGCCAGATGAAGAAGAAAACATATGTAGACAATAGTCATACAGATAAACAGAAACTTTTGCTCAAATATTAAAAAAACTGAATACTTGAGCTTACAAATTCGGGGAATTGTATATGAAACCTATCGCCGGAATTGATGAACTCACCGGCGGGGGAGAGTGAACAGATTGTATGCAATAGGGTACGAACCAAATCCGGATAATTCTCGGCCTTTTGTGCGCATAAAATTTGTTTACGTTACTTTTCAATATTCTGACATATAACTAATTACCTACCCAAGGCCGCTACTGCTACCCTCCGGTGGACCGCCGCCGCCGAGAGGACCTTGGCCATTCGAGCCGTACATGGGGAAGTTGGACGACATGCACAACCTCCACCAGGATACCACCAAGGGCTGATCGGCCTTCCCCAGCCGGACTACCACCGCATGGCAAACTTTCAGCCATAACTTCATTAGTAATACTCACCTACCCGGTGGACACATGTTAATATGTCCACCGTTTATGTGACATGCACTCATTAGTGATGTATTTTTTTAACATATTAATATCACCAATGGGTACATGCCACATAACCGGTGGACATATTAACATGTGTCCACCGTGAGTAGGGGAGCATTATTAAAAGAAATCTAAATCAAACATAATGAAAATACACTTGCATGGAAATAGAAAGATATTTTTGTTCTTCAATTTCATCAACAAAAAATACATTAAAGATTGCATACATGACTTAGCATCAGCATTCTCTTTATATAAGCAAAAATAAAACTAACTCTCTCTCTCACATGGCAGTTAAACAAAATAACCGTCCTCTATCATCACGTTAGTTGCATGTGATCATGCAGCACGTTCACATCGTGCTTAACGTGCATGAGATCATCTTGGGGTAGAGTAGATGCATTAGACTTGTTCTCATTGCTGACATGGCACTTGATAAGCCCTCGTTGACTCCTTTTAGCCTCCCTCAATTCGAATATCGGTTGTGGAACAACATTGAGTTGTGAGCGCAAACGAGTAAAGAATTGACCACTTAGAGGCTTTGTCAAGATGTCAGCAACTTGGTATAAAGAAGGAACATGTTGTACAGAGATTCTCTTGTTATTGACCTGCTCTCTTATGAAGTGCATGTCAATTTCAACATGTTTAGTTCTTGAGTGTTGGATGGGATTACAGGCTAAGGAAATTGCACCTCTATTATCTATCCAGATGGTTGATGGTGCTTTGTACTGAAACTGAAGTTCCTTGAGAAGAGATTGTAACCACATTATTTCACAAGTGACCGAGGCCAAGCTCCTAAGTTCAGATTCTTTACTTGATCTTGAGATCATATTTTGCTTTTTAGAACTCCAAGCCACAAGATTCTTGCCCAAGTAAACACACAAACCTGAAGTTGACTTTCTGTCATCTAAATCTGAGGTCCAAACAGCATCAGCAAAACCAATGACTTGATCATGAGATATTTCATAAAACTGCAGACCATAATTCAGTGTTCCACACAAATATCTTAATAACCTTTTCAATGCTTTGAAATGAACCTTGGTGGGACTCTGCATGAATTGGCTTAATTTGTTCACACTGAATGATATGTCTGGCCTTGTGATACTTGCATATTGAAGAGCACCAATTAAACTTCTATAATCATAAGCATTCTCCATAGGCTGACCTTCAGATCTTATGAGGGGTGTTGTCACCATAGGTGTGTTAAGAGCTTTACTTTCTTGCATCTCAACTTTGATCAGAATGTCTTGTATGTAACTCTTTTGAGACAGAATAATTCCATTTGAATTTCTAATCACCTCCAAGCCAAGAAAATAAGTCAGTTCACCCATATCTTTTAATGAGAACACTCTGGACAAATCATTGATGACTTGCTGTGTGTAGAGATCATCACTTCCAGTGATAATTAGATCATCTACATAAGTGAGAATGAAGGTAGAATTGCCATTTTCATGCTTATAGAACAAAGATGAGTCTGCCTTGGACATTTGAAACCCAAAAGACTCAAGCACATTGCATAACTTTGAGGACCAAGCTCTAGATGCTTGTTTCAATCCATAGATGGATTTATGAAGCCTGCAAAGTAGAGGTTTTCCTGATGTATCTGACCTTTCAAAACCTGGTGGCTGCTCCATGTATAAGTCAATGTCCAGATCACCATATAAGAATGCATTATCAATATCTACCTGTCTGAGTTTCCAAGATCTTGATAAGGCAATGGCAAGTACAGTTCTTATGGTGACTGGTCTTATCACGGGACTATATGTTTCTGTGAAGTCAAAACCAGGTTGTTGTGTGTATCCCTTGGCTACTAGCCTTGCCTTGTACCTGGACACAGTCCCATCACCATTTTTCTTGACTTTGAACACCCACTTGCTTCCTATAACATCTTTGTGTTTGGGAGCTTCACACAATGACCAAGTGTGATTTTACAGAAGGGCTTGGTACTCTTTATTCATAGCTTCTTTCCACTCAGGAGATGTAAAGGCTTCATCAATATTCCTTGGCTCCACATTAGTTTTCAATGGATTTCCTTTCATCTCCTGTGAGTAGATTTTTGGCTTGAAAATCCCTGCCTTTGATCTGGTTGTCATATGATGGACATTATCCTGCAAAACTTCATTAGTTTTTTCAAAAGCATCAGAAATGATATGGTTTTCATTATCTCTTTCAATTGGTAATTCTACGGAAATGTCTCCAATGGGAATGTTGGTTGATGTGGATGAGCTTGAAGAAGAATGTTGGTTTGGTGAGTGATGATGATTGGATGACAGAGGTGTATGGGGTATGCTGGTTTCTGAGTTTGTTGTTGGTAGTTCAATAGGCATGGTGGCAGGAGTTTGGGATATGAACTGAGGAGTGTTGCTGTCATTTGTATGAGTTTTGTCTTTGTTTTTGTGAAAGTAAGGGAAAATGGTTTCATCAAAGTGTATGTGCCTGGTGATAATGACTTTTCCATTGGGAAGTAAAGCTTTGTAACCTTTATACTGCTGGCTATACCCAAGAAAAGTTGAAGGTTGAGTTCTAGGCTCTAACTTGTGTTTGTTGTAAGGTTTTAAATATGGATAGCACAAGCAACCAAATACCTTGAGATGAGTATAATCTGGCTTCTTATTTGTCAACAGCTCCAATGGTGATTTATAATCAAGAATTTTTGAAGGAAGTCTATTTATGAGGAAACAAGCTGTGAAGAAGGCATCATCCCAATGCTTGTATGGTAGATGTGACTGAGATAAGAGAGACAATCCAACCTCTACAATGTGCCTATGCTTTCTTTCAGCAAGGCCATTTTGTTGAGGTGTATATGGACAAGAAATTCTGTGTGCTATGCCATTTTTGAGGAAAAATTGTGAAAGTGCTTTGAATTCAGTCCCTCCATCACTTTGTACAATTTTTATTTTCTTATCAAACTGATTTTCAACAAGACTTTTAAAATGGAGAAAAGCATCAAAGGTGTCTGATTTTGCTTTAAGGAGATAAAGCCAGGAGTGTCTGGTCTTGTGATCTATGAAGTTCACATAATAATGATATCCATTAAAAGATTTAATTGGAGCTGGACCCCATAAATCTGTATGGATCAATCCTAGAACATCATAATCATCATTGGTGGAAATAGGAAAAGGGAGTTTGTGAATCTTTCCTTGCAAGCAAGATTGGCAAAGACTGTGATTTTCATTCAAGTTCAAAGAAAAATTACAATCAGGTAGAGCTCTCTTAATGATATCAAAAGGGGGATGTCCTAGTCTAGAATGCCAAAGAGTTACATCCTCATTTTTCTTTTGAGCATGGTTAACTGAAACAATATGATTAACTGAAGCTGGTTGATCACCATTGAAGCTAGACAAGTTGAAGGTGTAGAGGCCATCTTTAACTCTCCTTTTTAGCAAAATCTCCCCTGTGGTTTGATCCTTCACAAGACAACATTGAGGGTGAAACTCAAAATATACTTGGTTGTCAAGGGCAAATTGGGATACACTTATTAGATTTTTTGTTATTTCAGGAACAAAAAGTAAGTTATTAAGAACAAAATGAGAAGATTTATTTCCATTGGAGGTAATTGTAGAGTTACCAATATGGGAGATTTGAAGACTCTTACCATTTCCAACTTGTACTTTTTCAGAACCTTGGTATTCAGATGCCAGATTTAAGTTGGCCAAGTCATAGGTAACATGATTACTTGCACCTGAATCAGGATACCAATTGCCACCTTCTGATTCTTCATTCATTTGTGCTGTGACAAGGCTTGTGGAATTGACTGAATGATTTCTTCCTCTTCCTTGAGATCCATTGTTGTTGCTTGGAACAACATTCTGGTCAAATCTATGCCAACACCGATCTGCAGTATGACCATTATAAAAACAGACTTGGCATCTTACAGTTTTATTTCCTGTTCTTCCTCTTCCCCTACCAAATCTTCCTCCTCTTTGTGCACCTTGATTTCTGCCTCTGTTGGATTGAAAACCTCCTCTTCCTCTTCCATGAGTTTGTTCAATGAGGTTAACATTTGGTGTAGAACCATCAAATCCATATTGAGGCTGTTCTGAGTTCATGGCTTCTAATCTTGTTTCAAAAGTAAGTAAGAGAGATTGCACTTCTCTGAGGGATATGTCTTCTTCTTTTGACATGATACTTACCATGACAGGATTGTAATCATGACCATGTCCTGCCAAAATATGCAAGATTTGTTCTTCTTCTGTAATTATTTGGCCTGCTGCTGCAAGTACATCACAACAAGATTTAATTTGGTTGAGGAAATCTCTCATATTAGATCCTCCTTTCTTGGTTGTTTGCAGCTTCAACTTGTACTGCAGAATTTTGGCTTTGGATTGGCTTGCAAAACCAATTTGAAGGCTGTCCCAAATTTGTTTGGAAGTGGTTAATCCCACTGTGGTCACTAAGATTGACTCAGTGAGGGAAGATAGGAGCCAAGAAGCTAGGATTTGATCTTGTCTTACCCATAATAAGTATTCTGGGTTTTGATGAGGCTCACTTGATCCTTCTTGCAGGATTTGTTGAGGGATTTTCTGATCTGGTGCAATGTATTCATAGAGTCCATAGCCTTTGATGGCTGCAATGACTTGTTGTTGCCACACCAAGTAATTTGTTTCATTGAGCTTTAAGGAAATAAGCTGACTTTGAGGAAAAATGAGTTGATTTTGGTCTGGTGTGGTTGAAGAAGATGCCATGATGAAGAGGAAAAAGAAATTTGCGAAGAAAGAAAGAAAAGGAAAAAAAAAAAAATGGCAACAAAGCAACCAAGATTAACCTGGTGCTCTGATACCATAAAAGAAATCTAAATCAAACATAATGAAGATACATTTGCATGAAAATAGAAAGATATTTTTGTTCTTCAATTTCATCAACAAAAATACATCTAAGCTTACTTTCATTACTTAGCATTAGCACTCTCTTTATACAAGCAAAAATAAAACCAACTCTCTCTCTCACATGGCAG